TTTTTTTAAAAAAACATATGGTTCAGAACGGATTAACCATAATTACATTGAACCTTATGGGAAAATTTGATTCGGGACACAACCAAAATCGGGTCACGACCAAATTCGGAGGGGTTAGAACGGATTAACCGTATTTACATTGAACCTTATGGGAAAATTTGATTCGGATCGCGACCAATTTGGGTCGCGACCAGAGTCGCGGAACGAATTAAGTTCATGAACCGAGGTACCACTGTACTTCTCAATTTTTTAAAACCAGTTCTGAAAATAAGAATAGAACCCATATATGGTTCAGAACGGATTAACCATAATTACATTGAACCTTATGGGAAAATTTGATTCGGATCGCGACCAATTTGGGTCGCGACCAGAGTCGCGGAACGAATTAAGTTCATGAACCGAGGTACCACTGTACTTCTCAATTTTTTAAAACCAGTTCTGAAAATAAGAATAGAACCCATTGGTTCTGTACTAATCCACAAAGATGCTACAGAAATATATGTTATAGTATTAAAGGTCACTGCTAACAAGGGAATTAATAGGATTCCATATCTCTGTCCTGCTGTTAGAAATAATAAGGTGGGCTTGAAGCCAGGCTGAATCAAGAAAGTCATCTTCTAAGAGTGCCTAAAGTTGGTCAGCCTAACTTTCTGTAGTACAGCACCTTGTCCCCAAAAGTAGAGCTACCAGAACCTGGGTGCAGAAATTGAGATATCCACCAGATGGCAGCAATCTTTATTGCAATCTGGTAGTTGTCTGGATTTTTGAAGTCCAGATCTCCTAGCAGTAGAAAGAACAATAACTAGATTTTTGAAGCCATGGTGGGCTGCTGGAGCACAGAACAGCCCCCCCCCCTTTTTCAACATCACTGACATTATTTTCTCCAGTAAGTGAGTAATGTTTGTAAGTTGGGCTGGAATTGTTGACCCATTCTGCTTCCGAAGTAGATGGAAGTATGATATAGTTGTATTTGCTCTAGGAATAATAATAAACAGATCAGAGGAAGAAAAGAAATAGAAAGCTGAGACAAGTCCAGCTGCCATAAGCTCCTTTCCCAGCTCTTGAAAGCTAGGTTTTATAATGCCTGCAAGAGATGGATCATCTGCCTTGATTGTAACTTTGAACTTGTTTCAAAAACTTAGTCACTGTCTTGGAACTGAATCTAAGTGAAGTCATCTTTCAAAGAAAAGGTGGTACAAAATGATCTTATTACAAGATGATAAGGATACGTTTTGTTTTATGCATTGGCATGGTCTCTTGCAAAACATGTACTAGTAACCACTAAAGGTTTTATCACAGGGCCTAACTAGAAGTGATGTGAGAAGCCACATTTATTGTACTCATGTTTCCTTCTTTCATATATCAAGTAGAGTACTGTGAGATCTAATTCCTACATCAGAATGAGTAGTATGTGACCAAAGAAGACAAACTCTCCAGTATTTTACCTTCTTATGCTTTATAACGTTGCACATCTTTCCCTAGCTATTTTCTAATACTAGAATTGAACTGAGAGCAGGTGAAGGAAGAGAGTAAAGAGAGATGAGATGAAAATTTGTCTGATACATATTCTTTTGGTACGCAGACCTATGAAAACTTTAAACATATCTCAAATACAACTTCATAAATCCTTGCATTGTGGTAGTTGTCCTATAGATCTGAAGAACTTGGCATAATTTTCATCTTGTCTTACTGTAGGGGGAGTAGAACATATATTCTGTTTCCTTGTAAGTCCTAGTGAGAACTTTCAGGCTGAAGATATAGAAATATTTAATTCAATGTAAATAGTGGGACTTCTCATATATATATACATAGTTTTCTTATTCAGAAACATTCACAACCATCTAGGAATACTCCAATCTGTCATTGTGTGTTATTTTAATTAATCAATTAGATGTTTGAAAATATTTATATTTTATATATTCAAATCCTATAGCATGTTTTCTCCAAATAAAATAAGAAAAGCTGACCTATATAGAAATAATTTATAACAGGGAGATAACAGTGGCCGGAGGATATTTTAATTGCTTTGGATACACTTGTGGAAAATTACTTTGGTTTTGATTTCTAAGGAACAGATTATCTATATTTTCAATTATTTTTAATGAGCTTGTAAAAATAGTAAAAAAAATAGTGTAGAGCTAGTCTTACTACATGGTTTATGTTTTACAGGTTTCTGGATACAACATACCGAATAGACTATGTTCCACCATATGACTATGGACCATATGTAAGTATATGGGAATAGAAAGAATATGGGAATACAAAGGTATGGCATGTCATGCAAAACATGATTTTAATAAGCAGCTTCTACTTGGCGACTATTGTGGCAATTGACACTGAGATATCAGTTGGAGCTCTATAATTAGGAGATTTTATTTTGAAAACAGTTAAGCGATGTTCAAAATATGTAGTACAATATTTGAATTGGCTTATCTTATGGGCATGTTAGTCTAAGTGTTGCCCTGCTATGTTTTCCAGTATTGTACAAAAGATGGATTTTGGGGCCATTTGGTGTTTTCTAAAAAAAAAAAAAAAGTGAATACATTTCCATTATTGTCTTCACAACTGATTGTGCAGTGACCAGAATGTCTGCGCCCCTCCTTTCCTCGCTCTCTTTAAGGGCCTTGCCCTTCCATTTTGAAAGAGGGCTCAGGTGCAGCAAAAATCATGGCAGTATTTGGAGAAAGAATGAAAAAAAAAAAAAGCTGGAAAAGAAAGAAGAATGGCAAAAAGAAGAAAAAGAACCAAATGAAAAGAGCTGAGTGTAGAGGAGAGCCTTGGTAATGGAAATGAGGCAGCTGCAGGGAAGAACAGCTGCAGCATAGCACCTTGAAGAGACATCAGGAAACTGGGCTGGGGACTGGGCAGCCTGGGGCCAGCAGATAGAGTGCCCTAAACATGGGAACATGGATGTACTTCCTGGATGTACTTCCTCCTGGATGTACTTCCATCCTAAACATAAAACATGGGAAATAGCAGAGCAGCGTCAGAAGCACCCCTGCCATCCCCAACCCTTAAATATCCAGAGGGGATCAGCCTCCATGATCAAGACAGCTTCAAGGAGTGAAGCTGAGGATCTGGAGTTTGGAATATCTTAGCACCCAACAAGCCACACAGGTGATTATGGGACAAGAGAGCTGGGGAGGACCAGGGATAGGCCTGAAGACCCAGAAGGACCAAAGAGTTACATTAAGGAGAAATCAAAGTACAAATAAAGCAGAATAGAACTATACAAACTCAAAGCTACAGGACTATGGACTGTACTAGAAACCATAGATAAGCTATATATGACTATAAATGATAGATAAGATAGAATATAAGGTAGAAGATGGAAATTAAAAAGCAAAATAGTAAAGTAGAAATAAAAGAATAATGGAAACCGTTTGCTGTTAAAAAGCTTTGGTTTGCATTATTTTTCTAGTACCATTTGTAAAAGAATGTATTTCCTTGTCTCTGTCTGGTATATCTCAAAATCAAACCTATGACAGTGATTCTTATTTGGATTACAAAATTGCATTGTACTGTTTATTGGCATTTACTTTTATGATTCTGAAAAATGTTAATTATATAATAAAACTCCTACAATTAAAAACATCAGGAGAACATTGTTGTGTTTCTCTGTGTATATGTATGATCTTTTAAAAAACGGAACATTTCATACTACACAAAGCCAGTAAATGAGGAGGGAAGCATATTGTTGCATGATGATTCAGCCTGGATTCCTTGTTTTATAAATTAGGGATCTAACAGGGTAAGAATGTGGCCATATTTTTTGTAACCATGGCAACCCAAAAAGAAAAATACATCTGCACATACAAACTTTAGCTCTTCTGATAGAAGATCTCCTTCACTCACACATCCTTGGAACATTTTGTTCTTATTAAACACAGGAACATTAGCTTCCCCGAACTGTAAATGTATTTCTTTTAAGGTAATGTATAAAAAAGTATTTCCCATCTTTTGCTTTCCTGACGTGTCTTTTAGTAGTCCTTTGGTTGGGCAGCCTCTGTCTTTTTCCAGCCTAATTCCAGTGAATTAGGTAATTCACTATTTCATAATTTTTGTCCCTATACATTCTTACTTCTTAATCCACTGCTTCTATTTTTCATTTTCCTTTAGCTACTTGCCTCCTGAGTCTCCTAGACATTGGATACCTTGCTTCCTTGAACTCCTGGATGTACTTTCATGTCGCCTCCCAGCCTCCTCAACCTCTATGCTCTTCCATTACCCAAGCCTTTCTGCCATCCCTTCTAGCCAAAGAAAAAAGACCCATCTGCCCCTAAGCCCTTTGCAATTCTTTTTGCAAAACCTGCTTTTCTCATGAATGGTGAATGTTACAGCTGACTCTTCCAGTTTTGTATTGGATCTGGTTTTATTTATTTATTTAATTAGGTTTTAGAAGGCTGCTCAACTCCAAAATGAGTCTGAGCAACTTACATAGTTAAAAAAGGAAAAAACAGAAACTAAGAATAAAAAGAAACAGTAAAAAGAGAAAACGACATAAAACAGAAATTAAGAATAAAAAGAAATGGTAAAAAAGAGAAAATGACGTACATGTTCAGACAAAATCACCCCCCCCCCAGTCTCCCCTTGTAGAGTGGGAGCCATGCAAGAGGCCAGGCACAATGCAACAGAGAAGGGGTGCTTTGAGTCCTAGATCACATTGTTTAATTTGCTTATATCAGCTTTGATTTCTCTTTCATTAGAACTAAATCTAAATCAGGACACAATAAAACAAATCAATAAACAATATAAAATTACCTAGGTTAGTGCAGTACAATGTCTTTCAAGAGCTAGGTCAGGAAGCTTTCTGAATGAACTAGACTGTAGATCCATGTCATTCAATATATCTACAGTGGGATGCAGGGCATCAGGAGGTCACAATGTAAGCTCTGCTGCTTTTCACATGGGTGGTAACATTGCATGAATACCCAACGGGGCAGAGCTGATTGTGCAACACTTCAATCCTCTTGTTGCCATTCTTATGAAAGCAGCAAGAGCTGCCAACTGATTCAGCCTTTTCAGTTCTATGTGGAGACACCAGGGATAAAACAGGGACCTCCCATTTTGTTCCTACAGGCCCCAGCTGAGATAATCCCTCTATAGTTGCCATCACAATACTACCAAGAGTCATTTTGCTAATTGAGCTTTGAAGATTCAAGTACATGATCTATCTTTCAATAGCTACCACCAGTAATTATTATCAATAATTATTTATTAACTTGGCAATGTCCATATCTTGG